CAAAACGATAAATAAATTCCTTTTCAGCGAGACTAATTTGAAATTATCATCTCAATATACACATATTCCTCATAAAATTCCAATCAATAAATTCAAAAGAACACATTAACATTCTCTCGAAACAGATCAGAATTTTTTCGTTGCTAATATATCAGTTTTATTTTTCTGTTTCAGGTGAGTCCGATTCCATGCGTTTATGTAACTTGGTGAGTGCCAGCTCTTTTTCCCATTAAAACGCCACGTTGTGAATTTATTTCCTTGCAACGAAGGCATTATCTCATGGAAGTTTAACTTTTTCTACCTGTGAAAATGCTCCTAAAGCTTTGTTGTGCCTCGCATAAACGAACAGACATTAAATTTATAGCCGTAACTCGGAGTAGAAAGGTCGCGCACGTGCCTCGAAATTGGCGCATGTGCGACCTGTTGCAATTTCGTGTTCCGCGATTCGTCCCGCGGTCAGCAGATGTCAGACAACGACGCGATCCTGGCTCTTTCTGTCGGCAAAGTCGTAAACTACTATCTCGCTGTTCGTTCGAACATGGTCTGACTTGTACTGCCACCTACTACTTGCCAACGACTCGCCAGCCTTGGCTTACTCGATACGAAAGTTACCTTCTTCAACCCCGTCGGTTTTTCACGATTAATCCGTATTTGCGATCATCATTATGGTGTGTCGTTTGTATAATAAATTTTTGGAATTGGAGAATACTGTTTTTTTTTTTTTAAATATTTTTATATTTATTTATATTTTATTTTGTTCGGAAGTCATAAATGGAAGAAATGATGTTTCATTCTGTATTCTAAAACTATGAGTTCAACGTGGCGTTTTTGTATAGTCATTTCATTTTATAGTTTTTATGTAGTTGAAGATTTTTAATATTAATATTAATAGAATATATTCAATAGATTGAATAGATTAAATAATCGAGCTTTATTCTGAAATACGATGTTTTCTTTCCTTATTCGGATTTATTATTCTATAGAATTAATCTAAAATCATTCTATGTACTAATTTTTATCGAGTGTATTTTTATATGAAGTCGGAAAGAAAATATATATCGTTTTTACGTAATTAATTAATCCTGCTGTTCTTTTCGAACCTATACCACTCAAAATGGATATCGTATCTCATTAAAACATACGTAGTTTTTAAATATCTAGTCAAAAATATCTATTCAATATAATCTTCATGTATATTCTACTTTTCATGGTTTGAAACGTCAAAAAAGACGTTTGAAGAGATACAACGTGATGAAAAAGTGAAGAGATTAAAGCAGGATTAAAAATCTTCTTTTTTAAAGGATGAGAACAGGTCGTATATTGTTTATCTATTATAAAAAAAACAAAAAAAAAGAAGAAATAATCGCGATCCAGAAAAGTTAGGAAAAATGCTTCGTGAATCGGTGTTGCTCGCGTGAGCATTATTTCCAATCTCCGACGAGCGAGTTGAAACGAAAGAGGGTAGTTTCCAAAGAGGCATAGTAGTTTCTCGCGCGGGTTCAACGCACGTTCTTGCAGCAGCCGCTTTCCGTATTGTTGTTTTCGAAGTGAGAGAGTAGACGGGTGGATTAAGTATCCTTACCGCAAAAGTCGGTTGCGCAACTGCGTTGCTACGAATCGTGTGGCAACTGCAGCAACTTTGTAGAAGCGAGTACACCAGCGAACGGGCGGTTTCGCTTTCTTCAATGTCCAACGCTAACATTCTTGTCTACACGGGCTCGTGCGATATCGCCGGCTCGACGACGTGAAAGTCGTCGCCAATGCAGTTTTCACTTCTCCGCGAGCAGCTGTCGGTCGACGCACGGATTTTCTCTCCACTCGATATCTCCGTGTGCCGATTCGATGAAATCCAGGTGAAATCGAAAGTGAAACGAGCCACCGGCAAACGAGGAACCAAAATTGATCGGCTCTATTGTAATAACGTTGCTAATTAACTCTTTGAGTGCTTGATCTATAAATATTGGATATTTATATTGTTTGTTTGTCAGAGGTTAACACATGTCGCAATACACTGAATAAATGTAACGAAACTATGTATAGGTTTAAAAATAAATGTATTAACGCTCCTCGTTCGGTATTTTG